TGTTGAATCGACTGAAAAATATCTTAAAGCTCGATGATACTGCAGAAATTACACTCTCAATTCATATTAGATTATTAATATCGCAATCAAGTCGACCTTCATAAAGAAACTCATTCAACTTTTACTCTCTCTTTGTGAGATGAAAACATCACGTTTAATTTAATCGAATTCAAAAGTACATGTAAATATTCTTATACTTTGTCACCAACTATCCATATGTATGAACAAGTAGTTCGATCAGTATTCTAGTGTATGCAGAAACTTTCTGAGCGTTTTAGTGATTTTAAATATATATTTTCTCTTCTATCTTTCGCTCTGTTCGATTTTTCCGTCGTGCATTCTTAAATAAACAGGTTTTCCCAACAAACTGGTTCGCATATATTCTTTGACTTTCTGCTCTCTACAAATTTCTTTTATTGTACGATGCATGAAATAGACAATGTGATGATTCAATTTAAAAGAAGCATCCACTTTGTTTTTGTCTAGAAATTCTGAAAAAAAACTGATGGATAAAATTTAGCTATTAGATATTTTTGTCAAACAACAAATGAAAACTGTGGTTGACCACGTCTATGATCATATTTATTTTGATCCATTACAAATTTCAATGAATGAAATAAATGAAGTCATCAAACTACGTAGTTTGTCTTTCCTATTCTCAAACAGTAAGAATTCAAGTTTTCCATAATTTAATCAGACATATTAGGTATGCTTGTGACTATTTAATGACAGACATAGAATCCTTTTTGACTTCCAAGGATGTTTATTTTCACGTTTATTTCTTCTTATTATGAGATCTCTTAATTACATTTGTCTGCCTTTCATATCGATGTGTCATTCGTTTCAATCACTTCTTCATTGAATACCATCTGCATTGATTTATGCTTTTTTTTGCTGCTATTTTGTATAAGCAAAAAAGAGGTTTACATTGATTATCATATTATATGATAGCCTTAGATGAACATTGTGTCACGATTAGTTGAATATTTTGTATGAATATGCCTTGACATCGTGTATCAAATGCAAATCCAAAATAGAAAAAACGTCTGATCTCAACTTCTCAGAGTAAATAAAAGCAAATTAAGGAAAACGTTAAAAAAAACATTTTCATAAACCTGTGTGCCAATTCGGTCTTCGTTCAAGTATCCCATGGGCTCGAACCCTCTTAGATTCCCTCTAATCCCATGGAGTTCTACTTCTAATCAAAATATAGGCTCAAACGAAGTCGAGCAGTTAGGTATGTACACATTTTACATGTAATCAAATTCATTCAAAAAGGTTTGGAGTGTCATTCATCAGGTATTACTATGTAATACACGGTGAGCTTACTTTAATTTTATATGAAGACTTTGTTCATATAGATGAAAATTTTTGGCAAGATCAAAAGAGAGCATATAGAAATCTTTATGAAAATCTGCGATGAATCTGAGAAATTCCTATCACCAAGAGACACATCTAATTTTTGTAAACATATTGAATCAAAAATCTATGAACAACATGCTAGTAAATTTTGTAATTTCTTGAGAACGAGATTACATTTTTTTTAAAATTTCAAAGGTTGTATGTTATTTTTATTCAGATAATATCAAAAACAGCTGTCTAAGAATATTTCAGTGCATGATAATCCCCAAAAATTATCTGATATACAGAGTTCAACATTACATTCATATATAGTTTTAGCCCATTTTGAGGCTTCCTCATTACATTTGCGTAAACTTCACCGTAATTTTGAGTACTTGTCGATGGTGACAGTATTTAACATAGAAAATGACAGCTAATCAATCCAATAGAATGAATCACTAGTACAATGTTGATCACTTGATACTTTTGGATACGTATGTATTTCAATAAATTGACGAATCAAATCAGATTGAAAATCACTGAGCCAAGTAATTTGACGAAATCTTTGCTTCTTTAAAATATACAAATTCCGCACGGTTACATCTATCACATGAAAGAAAGGTTTTTTACATCATTTCACTGTTTTCTGAATATATTCGATATAAGAGCTAAGAAAATGCTTAAAAGTATGAATGAAAAATAAAACATAATTCAGACAGGAATATATGGTAATGGAAAAAAAGTGATGTTTTCATATGATTAACGATTTAAGGTGGGAGTGATAGACAAGTGATGATGCGATTGATGAATAGCTTGAAAATACATGTTGCTCCAATCATCCATTCATCAATCACAGTTACCTGAAAGCACAATTTTCTTCGCAAACATAAGAGCATGTTCAAAGTGACAAATGAATGACAATGATCAATATCATATTCATTTGTTTTCATCAATCTGAAATAAATATTGGACGATCTTTAGCTAATCCATCGTCACATATCAAATGAATAATCCGAACGAAAGTTCTGTTCACTTATTTCATTTATTTGGGATCAAAATAGTTACACCGACTGTAGTTCATCCACTGCGACCCCACTAATGAATAGTGATAACGCTCAAAACGGTCGTAATGGTTCTGTTCATCAATGTTTTCATCTCATTTTGAAACTTGAATCGAATCTTGTGAATCGACCTATGGATCGACGAGCATATAAAAAGTGAATGTTTCTCAACACGAGAGTTTTGTTTACATATTTTTCGCTGTCCAAATGAAAGATGATTGATAAATAAGTTGGAAAAATCTCACGCCGAAGGAATCAATCTCATCACTGTTGTGTTCATTTATCTTTCGCATTATGAAATGAAGATCAAGTCTTGCTCATATTGATCAACGATCGTGTGATGAGTAAATATGCATTAGCGAGATTTTGTTCACTTATGTTTTTCAATTTGAACTAAAACATCCAAGTTACTTATGATCGAAAAAGATTTCATGGCATTGAAACTATCATTTACCAAAAATTTTGTTCAACTATCTTTGCGAATATCTAAATAAACCATAAAAATTAATGCGCTGATCGAAGATAATAAGATTTATGGATCAATACAACGGTCTCGATGAATCTATTCATCTATTTTGTCAACTCACTTGGAATGAAAATGTATAAGGCTATATGTTGATCAAGAGATTACATAGAAGAGGAATTATTATGATCTTCCTTTCCCCAATATTCATGTTCATTGATACTGTGTTCATTAAAACAAACGCTTCAAGAACAAGCTACTTCGAAAGATAATAAGGTGCAGGACTGATCATAATTCTTGTAATGGTTTTGTTTATTCACGACACTCACTTTGCTTATCATAATATGAGTCCCCAAGTTAATAAAAGTTCAGATAAAAAAGGAATTATTCTGATCCTGGATGATCTGTTCACTTATATTACTTGATACGATATAAAGTTTTCGATTGACGAAGGTGTGCGACGATCGTACCACAAACAAATCATCATGATCCATTTCCAGCTTTTTGGATGATTTTGTTCATCTGTTTTACGTACATGAAAGCAAGAATTCAAGAAAGATAAACTTATCGAGAATCATCTGTTAAATAGATAATCATCATCGCCCGTAGATTTTGTTAATCTATTTTCTTTTGCACCATAATGACTATGTCGATTCGATTGCACATCGATGCTTGCATGTCAAATGAATGATTTGAATAGTACCAACAGTCGTATTCATCTATTCCATTCACTTCAAAGCGCCATGACTCAGTTGTTAAGCATAAAGAAGATGAACTATCAAAGGAATCAATTAAATCAATGTTCTGTTCGTTTATGATGGTTTTACTTCAAATTTAAGATCCACAGTTTGTCTATAAATTCAAGGTCCTGTGAAAAATGAATGATCATCACGGCATTTGCCGCAATAGGCACAAGCGTTCTATTCAAAAAACACGTTCACTAAGGATGAACTCGTTCAAGTCGACCATGTGATTGAAATTTTTTGACTGTCGAATAATCTTTAGGACGACGATGTTCGTTTATATTGGTTTTCTCAGAGTAAATTCAAAAGTTCTTCAATGGAGTAGAGGTTACATAAGAAATGACTGAATAGTACGACCCTTAACCTCTTATTCACTTATTTTACTTCTTGCAAGTGAAAATCTTTGTTATAGTTAAGTGTTGAAAACTTATAGAACAGATGAATGCTCATAACAATAGTTTTATTCATGTGCTTTTCTCTGTTTGGAGAAAACAATTCAAAATATTGTATAAATCAAACACCACACCAATAATGATTCATTTTGATACAGTTTCTTGTCCGTTCCAGATGTGGCGAATTCTTGGCCTTCTAAACGAAAGTTGTCAACATTCTGAGTAACTTCAACACAAATTTGATAGTTTCTTCTCTATCAAGCAAAATTGACAATGATGGCTGAATTATTTATGATGAAAAATCAATGTTCCCATTCTGTCCTACAACCTCATACATGCTAATCTTGAAATCTATCTTCAAGTATCGAATATCTCAGATGTGACGAATTCAGAAATATAAAAACTTCACTTTTGTTTGCTGATATATGATCTTGTGGTGCTCATCATAGGCTACTATGATAGACATATCCACATGTAGCGCTATTATCGCTGATTCTTATTAACAGTTCAAATAGTTCCACCTCATTTTATACTTTAATCTCGTAGTGATGGGATTGAAAGTAATTGTTTTTGATATTCTATAATTGACACTCAAGACGTATTGATGAGTTTATAAAAAACATTAAAATGTTCATTTCATGCATGGAATTTTCATTTTTTTTAATCTGATGATGTCTCACTGGCTAACTTTTCATTATTTTGATGTTAAATACATCATGTTTTTATTGAAGTTTTGAGTTCTTCGATACACTATAAATGAATTAAAAGAATATAGATTTTGCTAAGATTAGACCTAGATAAAGCTTCAAGCTTCATGAACATCTGCAAAAACTAGTGATCTTTTCGTTTAACATTCACATTAGAGCTCACTCCCACAAGCTTGTCTCTAATTTAAAAACTTTTCCAGCTGGCCTCGATAAACGAAATATTTGTTAACTTCGATTCTCTACATACTCATGTCCTACTATTGAATATTACACTGAGAACTCTCTACAGAAATATGCCGAATAGAATAAAAAAACGCTTACTTTTTGGTTTGATGGATGATGCTGTAGCAGCAACACTTGGTAGACCTTCGGCTTTCGAAACTGCAACATTTTGTTTAGCTGCTATTTCCATAGTTGTTGCCGATGCTGTCGAAACGGATGTGTCCGATGTTGCTGATGCGAAAGGCGGTTCAAGGAATGGTCGTGGTGCAGATGTTTCGCGCAAATGAATGATGTATAAGTCCTTAGCTGGGCTCCATTTACCCACAACACGAAGATAAGTGCCAGGTAGAAGAAGAATTTCGCTTTCTTTTTTATAGTGTGAATGAGCTCGGATAGCTTTGCCATTAATACATTCAATATTGAATAAAGTTCGTACACCTGACTTTCCAACAAATTGCTCCATCACATCCACACTCTCTGTACATGAACTGAACCCCCACCATACTATATCATCATCATATTGATCGCTCAAATTGCCGTGAACTCCCCGCCAGACTGTACTCTTCAATGATGGCAATTTGAATAAAGCAGTGAGAACCAGTTTTAGGTAACGGAACCATGGTTTGAGTGATTCTCGTCGTTCTGAACGAAGTATGCTATTGAGCTTAGTATATAGACTTACATTCGGCTCTTCCCATTGCATCGTATATAGGTGAATAGCAGCCGATTCGTCAGGATCAAGTCCATCTGCCGGTTTTTTTGAGTTTCGTTTGGCCGTGTCAACCATTATATCGAGATCATCGAGTTGATCATCGATCGGCTTAATAGCCTCTTCAAGTGGTAGCAGTCGCTCCTTTGCATAACCACGAATAGGCAACAAAACTTGATTGGGCTCCTCGCTGGCGTCAAGAAATCGTGCATTAGAGTTTTTGTTTGTTGCAGTAGCCATCAGTATTTATTCAAATTGAAAAAATGACGATAGCTTGCATTCACCTTCACCTTTATATTTATGTTGATTCTACCATAGTAACATTATCACAAGAGCTTGGAAGATAAAAAAGAAAACACAAGTGCACAATAACAAAGAACCTACAGAAGTAAATACAGCTCGCCAAATTCTATCAAATAACATTGTTCTCACTGCTTTCAATAGTTTTTCTTCTAAACAGGATAGAAGAAAAGCGATAAGAAGCACAGTCCTGAGCATATTGCCATAATAAAAAGAATGAAGAAAAAGGTAGTTGCCAAATCTTTTTTGATTGGCCTTGCAAGCAAATATGATAAAATGCACCATAATAAAATAGGTGACAGTGAGAGTGAAGATGGGAGTAAGTTTTTACGGCAGAAAGCTTCAAAGCTTTATAAGAAATATTTTGGCTTCTGGTCGGCCGTCACCATCAGTTAGGTATAGACTCTATCAGTGCGTATAAATTAGACTTTTTAAGATCGAAGATTAAGTAGATTCTATCTATCCCACTACTGGTTTAACCTTTTACTTTATGATAATTTGCCCGATGTTGCGATGGATTCGAGAGCACACTGATGATGGATGTTGTTAGTGTGAGAGTGATGGATGAAAAAAAGACACTCAGCTTTTTCCTATATTTGCGGCTTTAGGGTCCTAAGGAGTCAGTTTTGATAGGTGCGATATTTTTTCTTTAGTTGAGGGTGTAGGTGAGTACGTTCATGCGAGTGATGATGTTGATATGAATGTGGCTGAAGGTGTGTGGCTTTGGCTTTCAAATGCGAGTGTGGGTCACTGTCTACGTAAGGGTTTGGTTGTCAAAACTTGGCTTGCGGATGCAGGTGGTAGCCACCATGAAGTTATTTGTATTAGTGAAGGTGTGTATGCGCGTAGGAACGTGGGGTGAATGTGGGTGTAGCTGTGGGCCTGGCTGTATGGTACACCTTTATGTGAAGGTTGAGGGAGTAGGTAGGACATGCAGACAAGATGTATCTGACATTGCGTCAAGAATATCACCAACTTTATAGATGAATGGATATCGAGTTGGGTGTCCATCTCATTATACCAAATTCACTGAAAACCTCAATTTTTTAGGCATATGGATGCCTTGAATACGATAAGTGAATATCCTTATAGCTATGTTATGAATCTCGATACTCGACTTATAGATATTATGACATCCATCAGTTCTCCATGTTTATTTCCGCATATTATTAATATTTTCTGTTCATTTCTTTAAAAACTGTTCTCTTATTCTGTATTTTTTTTTGTATTTGTCTACTGTAATAAAAAGTAACCTTTTTTAAAATGTATTCTATCTACTTTTATTAAAAAATTAACACAGAATGTCAATCGAACGAAGTCAACAAGATTAGTTTCGTGACATCACATAATTCAATGATTTCTAACAGCTA